GGTTGATTTGAGGAAATCGCACAAAATGGAATGAAGAAAGCTATAAAAAGGATATCGGGGGAACAAGCAAATGTGCTGCTGTTCATTAAGTATTTAATCGAATTCGTTCTTTCTTGGTACTGAGCTCGAAATGGTGCTATATGCTAGCACACTTATCAATTTTCATTATGCCAAAACATATCAGGACATATTTAACATATTTCAAAAAACATTTAACACACATACAGTATGGGACATATTTCGTAAAAGTAATAATAAGTGTCCAAATTTGTCATCAAGGATAATGCTTGCAAAACAAACAGAAATGAAACAAAAATGATAAGACTGGAAATCAGTGAACACGTTGCAGAATTTTAAGGCAATCAAAACAGCTGCATTGAAAAGTTGAAAAAAAAATTGCCGGTTAAGCCTATTTGAATTAAAACGAGACGGATGAAAAAAGGTAAGAGTGACGTACAAATACTGAGAATAAAAAAATACAAACTTCACTCCCAACATGGTTATGAAGATGGCGCCAGCCAAGCTCCCTTTTAATATCACTTTCTACAAGAAATGTTTATGAAAAAAAAAAAAAAATGAGATGAGGGGCTCACAACCTGAAAATATAAATGCGAGATTACAGAAGAAACTACAGTTTAGAGTCACACGGAAAAATGAAAATAAAATTGAGGAATTCGCCGAGCATTCTGAGATCGTCTCTCATTCACCGGTATATGCGTTTGCAAAATAAGACAAAATATTCAGTGAATATTTCAAATACGATAACTTCCCAGCAGATTTACTTCGATTTAAAAAAAAAAAAAGTGAAAAAGGATCCTTTCGAATTCTGTCACATTCTCACTGCGTTTCACATTCTTTCGAATACAGAGCAATTCGAAAAACTTCTTTTCTATGTACATGAAAGCTTCAGTCGCGTTGCCTTCACAGCTGTTTTATTCGCTACTTATCAAAAAACCTTCGATTATCAGATTTCGAAAGATTTCAGAAATAGGTGAAAAAAAAAAACTGTGGAAATTCTTCATTTCCAAATTCAGCACTTTTTCTTTGGGCTTTATAAATAATGCGGTTTTCTCAATTAGCAGGCTGACTACTAGATGATGCAGCACTGGTCAAGTTACCGGAAAAGTAGCCAAATGGATAGAAAAGTGGGCAAATGTATCATGAGATACAGCTGAAGCAAACATACCGTGTTTAAGAAATCTCAATACTTGACTCTATCACACACGAACAGTAGTGATGTTATGCATGACAAATGAAAACAACAAACGCAGAGATGTACGAAGATTTAGAGAGGGAATGGAACGAGTATACATTTCGTCCTTAATGCAAATTCCTTCAACAGACGTCTAACACAACATATGCGCGAGCCCTTGCTTCTGCGCTTGTTCTGATCGCTGAAGCGTTAAAATGAACAATTTTTCGTCTTGTTAAGCAGTCATTTGCCTCATTTTCACCTCACCGCAACGAGAAAGAAAGACATTCTGTCTCTCATTCAATTCACTTTCCTCTCCAGCGTACCATTGTGCAAAACGTGAGGGAAAAAAAAAAAAAAAAAACGACTATTATCAT